GGTGCCCGCCACTACGCCTGGCTATTTTTTTATTGTTGTTGTTGCAGTTGTCATTATTGTTTAGCAGGCCTGGGCCGGGTTTGAACCCGCCAGCTCCAATGTATGTGGCCAGTGCCCTAACCACTTAGCTATGGGCGCCGAGCCGTGTACCAAAACTTTTATGTAATTTTGCACATAATGAACCTCCCACCACCTGTATGTAAGTAGTGGGCTTGAAGTACTGTGCCAGGCATGTGGTACAGTATTTAGGACTTGTCTCAGGATTTAGCTCTAAGATTTCTGAATAAAACTAACTTTAATTCTTTAAAAGTTGTATTTTTGTTTTCTTTAGTCAACACAAGTATCTGGTAGAGCCAGGACCAGAACCTCTATGTCCTGCCTTCCAGTGCTGTGCTATCTCACCACTCTGTCCTTTTCCTATTCCCTTGCCACATACGATCCCATACTGTGTGTATGTAGGGAGGGTGAGGGGATGGTCTGTTAGAGAGAGGAAGGAGATTCAGTGAAGATTGCTTCTCAGCAGCCAGGGCACCAGCCCCCTTTCTCATCCAAGGCCCAGCTAAAGCAAGTAACTGGAAGGCACGAGGGGTGGGGCGGGGCTGAGCTTCAGGGAAAGGCTCTGACCTTGGTGGGGAAATCCCCATCCTGGAAGCTCAGAAATTCAGTCTGGAGCCAACCAGAGACTCGATCATCTTCACAGCCCTTTGTGGCAAGCCGGGCACACCAGAAGTCCATGCGGAGCCCACCATACAAATCCAGCCCGTAAAAGCGGCCCAGTTCTAAGGACCCTATCTGTGTCATGGAAGACAGGGAAGAGGTGTACACCACGCCCTGTCTGAGCCTTCCTTTTACCCACCCACTTCTACCCTGCCTGCTTCCTCCCCCACTGTAGGCTGTCCAGTTCAGTACCTGGGTGCCAACGGATAGGCTCTGGGAGGTGAGCAAGGGACTGACAAAGGGTGTCTTGTGGGAGTTGTCACATGGCTGCCGCTGCAGGTTGGCCTCTGAGTGGCACTGCTCCAGCTTCAGGGAGCAGAAGCCACAGAGGGCACAGGTCGATATATGTCGCCGCCCAAGGTTGTCACAGACCTGGGGCAGGAGTGTGGGTAAGAGGATGAGGTTGAGACTCAGTGGCCTGCCCTCTCCCACACCTCAGCCCTCTAGAGTGAGCCTGGCAGAACCTTTGCTGGGAGCCTCTTCCAAAAGCTTCTCTGACTTCTCTCTCTGTCCTCCTCCCCAATGGTTCCTCAAGGACCTTGCCTCAGCTCACTATTTCTTCACCCTCTTTCTGGATGATTTATCTATCCTAGGGAATTGCCATCTATCTGCAGGTGACACCCAAATCTTTATTGCCAGCTCTGATTTCTTTCCTGAACTTCAAATCCTCATTGCCAAGTGCCTGACAAATACCACTGGGTGACCCACAATTACCCCTAACTTAGCCTCTCTCAAAAGAACTCATAACCCTCCATCCTTCTCATCTCTGCCCATGAGAATGCTAGTATTTACAAAGAGGTCACATAGTGCTGCCACCATGGCTATCAATGCTCTCATCTCATTTAGATTTTCTTTTTTCTTTTTTTTTTTTTTTTT